CTGCTTTGCAATAAAACATGAAGCCATATTTCTGATTCCTACCCACAATGCTGACATATATAAATACAAAACAATAAAAACACAACCCAGAAGACTATGGATATCTACGCCTGCAATAAAAACACACTATAGTTTCCTACATGGAAGTGTAAATAACATGATCAAAGTAAACTCACAGATGAAATATTTGTTCGCACTGACTCTTGATGCATCTGCCACTTTGTGTTTACATATAAATTTTATACCCTTTCCAAATAGGAATATATATATATATATATATATAATATGCCTGAAAATGGTCAGCGGCCAGTTTATGCCCTGACTGGCAGTGTGCCTTATGTAGTACTGCATGAGCAACTGCAAGTCTGTCATGACTGACTACTTCCAACAATGATGAAGATGAACTGCAGCGGTGAACTGTTAGTGCTGGCACCTCTGCCCGCTGCTTTATGCATTTACTGTATGTGCGAGTGGGACTGTCATTAATCTTCAATGGGACAATGCTGTTAGTGTAGTTTCCACCTGGCACAGGAATCGAGCAAAAGCCGCTGTAGTGTAGATCCTCACCTGCAGATCCGAAGGTCATGAGTTCAGGTCCTGATGAAACCCCATTTTTTATTGGAGAAAAAAAAAATACCCTGTACTCCAGTTCAACCCAGCCTTTAATGGTTACCAAGTAAAGTCCCTGGAAGTAGAGGCGGCCTGGCGTGATGTTAACCACATCACCCAGTGAGTGTGGATTGATCTTACCCTATGTGCCCAGTAAGCCTGAAGGTGTGGCAAAGGGTCCTATACATTTGCAAGAAAGAAGTAATTATGGAGTGATCCATTTGCCATGAGCTTGCAACCATGACCAACTACTTATGAACAGGAAAACATACCCATAAGAACTGAGGAGCCAGACAGCCCGTTGCTAAACTTTTTTTTTTTTTTTAAATATCTTGGTGAAATTCACGCTAGTACTACTTACTCTAACGGAGGCGTGTGAAATCATTTGGATATTTATTTCATCAAACCGTGTGCCATCCACAACTATTACCTTGACTCATTCAGTACCAGCCAACAACTCAATATTTGTTTTTGATGTCAGATGAAACAATAACATTTTTTCTGAACATCTGGTGAACACTAAGCTCTATACTCACCTAATTTGCATCTTCTTCTTCTTCTTATTCGTCTTCTTTTTCTTCTTCTCCTCCTTCTTTGTATTCCTCTTCTTCTTCTCCTCCTCCTCCCTCTTCATCGTCGTTGTCTTCTTCTTATTCATCGTCCTCTTCTTCATCGTCTTCTTCTTCTTATTCGTCGTCTTCTTCTCCATCATCTTCTCCTTCTTCATCTTATTCGTCTTCTTCTATTTCTTATTCGTCTTCTTCTTCTTCTTCATCTTCTTCTTCTTCTTCTTCATCTTATTTGTCTTCTTCTTCATCTGCACTTGCCCTGAAAAGGGCAGTTAGCAAGTTTTTTTATTTATAGTTAGACTGATTTCTGCACACAGCATCAGCCTAACAAGCAGTAGAGTATGCACTGGTAAAGAAACAAAGGCAGACTAGAAGCATTTTGTGTGGCGATCCTGCCTCTACTTCCATCTCTACTGTCACTTGCATCTCTGCTGTCACTTCCATCTCTACTGTCACTTCCATCTGTTGTCCGCACTGCTCAAGAGTTTTCCAGGCTCTAACAGGACTGATCAGTCATCTCCGTACTCACAATCACTGACCATCACTACTTCTGGATGTGAAGCGGTCCATCATCACTTAGTCTTCTTCTTCGCATTCACCAGCTGTTAACTCTGGCAGAAAGTTCTGGTTGTTTGCTCACCTCTGGACTTTAGGTCTTGTTCCAGAATCTGACTTGTGTGCACACCCATTAAACAGATTTGATGTAGACTGTTGGTTCCTTGTCTCTCAGGCAGTTGCACTCCGATTTTGAAGGAAGCTCCCCAATTAGTCCACTTTTACATCATGCTTGTTTGGAAGGCAGTAGGTCTATTCTTGTTTTCCCCACAATGGGGTCCCAGAACCGACATGGAGAATCACCACTTGCGATGGAAGAGCAACACATCTGTGCCTTTCGCCCAAAACATCCAATTTCAACAAACTCTTAAATAGTCATCTCTTACATCGTGCTTGTAGGGGGGGGGGGGGGGGGCCTTTCTGCATCAATTGTTACTTTTATTCCTGCTCACCCATATTATTATTACAACTCCTGTTATAAAGTAACAGTTTTTAGAATATAACAAATTCAAATAACACCTTCTAGGCTTTGAAAGAGCTGAAAATGTCTGCCCCATCATACTTGGATACGTCTACTTTGTCCATAATGGACACTCCTAGCTTATCCCTCAGCATTCATGTTGTTATTGTGATTCACTTATTACATGTGTGTGTGTATAAACATGTATGTAAACAGTTCATAGATTTACTGTTATTCTAGTTCTGTCTGTGACTTTCAGTGGTGCAGTGGCCTGAATGTTCAATTATCTCTCAAGTCCTTCAGTCCCAAACAATGTATAGTATGCAATGCGATCCTTTCTGTGAGTCTCAACCCTCAAATAATGTGTTCTCTTAAATTTTCATTTTGGTCAGAAAATATTAGGAAATCTGGCTATCCAAGTGGCCACACCCTCTATGTTTAACCTTATGTTAGCTTTCATAATTTGTCTTCTTCTTCTGCCAACTTGGACATGGGCTGCCAAATCTTCTGGTACTGAAACAGTTAAACAAATGGTATGAAGTCCCATCTACATAAAGGATAATTTAATATTAATAAAAAAACTTGAGTTATGACATTTCCCCTCCTTCCATTTAATGTGGGTCAGACATCAAGTCTTGTTAAATTAAAAAATTTAAAAAAAATGTATATTTAAAAAAAAAACTTTGTGTACATTGCACAAGTTAAAATTCCTTAACTGACCAAAAATTATGTGAAATAAATTACTGTCTTGGTTTTAACCAAATACATTTTTCATTACAAACCCTGCCGACCACAGACTATTTATAGTGTGCTTTGTTACCTGGGCTTTACAATTAATGGAATCGGGTATACAATATAACACAATCAGTAAAGAGGCAGCCACCATGGTGCAGCAGCTAGACGCTGGCCTGCAGATTCACAGGTCATAGGTTCAAATTAGCTGGACCCAGCTTTCAATAGGTACCAGGTGAAGTCCTGAGAAGGAAAAGAAGCCAGCATGATGTTGACCACATTATCTAAGGAGTACCCGGGGGTCTTTGAAAAAAATAAGGTGCAGACCTGCATGCCCAAAACGCCTGAAAGCGTAGGAAAGGGCTCTTTACTTTATTAGTAGTAAGGGTCATGGCAGAGGACAAGGCAGAATCATTCTTAACCAACTGCCTACTGGAACTATCAACAGCCATACTGTACTGTACAGCATCTTCTAAAGGAGACGGAGCCCACACGATCATGCCCTGAGCGCTGTGATGTCAGTGCTGATTGCCAGTTTGTGATGCCACAGCTGCTTACTGTGTTGGTTAACTTTTGATACCACAGCTGCTTACTGTGTTGGTTAACTTTTGATGCCACAGCTGCTTACTGTGTTGGTTAACTTTTGATGCCACAGCTGCTTACTGTGTTGGTTAACTTTTGATGCCACAGCTGCTTACTGTGTTGGTTAACTTTTGATGCCACAGCTGCTTACTGTGTTGGTTAACTTTTGATGCCACAGCTGCTTACTGTGTTGGTTAACTTTTGCCAAGTACTCAGGCATCCATCATACTATTCCTTGCAATCATTATCAGGCTGTGCATTAACTGTATTTTTTCAACCACACATTACACCAGGGCCATTTACCTGGCGGCCCATGGGCCAAATCTGGCCTGCAAAGACCTAGCGAGTGGCCCGCTGATCTCTGTCTGTCTAACTGTATTAAGGTTTTTTGTATGGCCCGTGACAGTCCTCATCTTCTTCAACATTTTAGCTCTGAAGTAAACTCAGAAAGTCCTGATTTAGACCGCCAATGTTAAATTTTGATATTTAATTTCCCACCAAAGTTTCAAGGCGAAATGATTAAAACTAAATTATTCATCAAGATATGGGATACAGGGACACTAAATTGTCCCAAAAAATCTAGGAAAATGGGAGTGATGTTTGATTGTGAGTCAATTACCCACAATTTAGGCAATCACGGGTATTGCCGAAACTTGATTACCCTTAAAAACAATGGGATTTGCTACCCATGCTGAATACCCTTGGGTCAGGGTAAAAGGTAATATATGACACAGAATTAGCAATCAAAACTGTATTAACCATGGGAGGCTAAGAACCAGGGAACCAGACCTCCAGGGAACCCAGGGTCCACTGGGAAGGCAACATCCGACAGTCCCTATCACAGGACTGGAATGGAACAAAGCCAGAAAGAAAACTGCTGAAAGAGACGTCTGGCGATCTCTCTGGCAAACCTCTACACCCCAAGGTAGAAAAGGAGCGACTAAGTAAGTAAGTAAGCAAGTAAGTAAGTAAGTAAGTAACAGTATATTACCCAGGGAAATATGTGATGAATGAACCAAAATAATGTTTTATTACCACTTATAACCTTTTATGATGAATACTCTATTAGGTCTCGATTATTAACGGTTATTTGATACACGAACTATGCTCCATGTAGGCCTTGAAAACACAACCCTGGCAAGATCCCAAGTCATCAGCCTTTCTTTGTAATCAACCTGCCAAAATGGATGCCCAATGGCAGGATGCACCCTATATGGGCGCCCTCAGTCAGGGGGTCATTGTGGTGACATCCAGTGATTGGAATGTTCCAAAGATTCTTGAGCTGACACAAAAAGGAATGGATCTTTTACACACCAAGGAATGGATCTTTCACACACCAAGGAATGGATCCTTTTGCACACCACAGCCTGGCTGCTGGATGTAGCTGGCTTGCTTATTTGGATTTCCACAGACAGTGGGGAAACGACAAGCCAAAAGTCTGTCTGATTTTTGTGACTATCACAGACCAAATCACGTCTACTTCAAAAGAAGATTCACAACCACGTCTGGGGAAGATAAACATGCAGAAATAAGTCAATATTTCTTAATATATGAAATGTTCAAGTGCACTGTAAGAATGTTTTAATTTTTAAATTTTCAAGTACAATGTAACTATTTCTTAATTTAAATAATTTCCAATTGCACTGTAAGTATTTTTTAATTTATAAAATGTTCACGGGCACCAGGGAGGATACCAGCCTTATCCTAGGTAAAGAAAATGCAACCAGAAAACTTTATGTCATGGCTGGGCAGACACGGCTGGGCAGACAAGGTTGGGCAGACAAGGCTGGGCAGAGACAGCTGGGCAAACACTGCCTTTTGCCTTGGCTGGCAACTGGTCTAGGAGGAGAGAAGTTTATTATGCTCTTCTTCTTCTTCTTCTCGTCCATTGGCTGTAAACTCCGGCAGAAAGTTCTGGTTGTTCATCAACCTCTGGACTTTTAGATTTGTTACATCCATTTCACAGATCTAACTTTGTATGCAAACTGTTGTTTCCTTGTCTCTCAGGAAACCACCAAGTAGCTAACTCTTACGACAAGCTTGTTGGGGAGGCAGCGAGTCTGTTGTTGTTTTCCCACAATGGGACCCCGGAACACACACTGGGACTAGTTATGTATCTAGGGGTTTGAACCAGGATCCATCAGATTGGCAGACAAGTGCACACAAAAAATACAAAGTGTGTGTGTCAACACTAGATTTGTGCTGTTCTAACAGTTACAGACAACAGTTACAGACATACAGGTGTACAGGAAGCTGACTGAAAGAGAGATTGGAACCAAATCCCATCAAACTGGCAGAGATGTGAACAAACCAACAAAGAAAATGGATAAGTGTAAGTGCTAACATTTTATGTGCTGTTCAAGAAATGACAAAGCTGTGTGCTGTGTGTGAAACTGCTGTGTTGAACAGTACTGAACCAACACTGACAGACAAGTGAACAAACTAACACACAAAAGGAATTAATGTGACTGCTGGTGGGGGCTGGCTGCCAAAATGGGGAGGGAGGCAGCACACTTGCACGGGAGACTCAGGTTTGAATCCTCAGTAAGGCTGGGGACCTTTTTTCTGTCAGGGGAAAAAAATTTAACCTGCAAAGCCTATGGTGACATCCCCGCACCCCCCCCCCCCCCCCCCACCCCCCAGTAGTTATGTTCCTCATGTTGAGAAAACCTGAGAACCTGGATAAGACACACGTTGAGAGCACCTGAGAAAAGAATAACCAGAATTTCTTTACACTGAAACCCACAGGGGCGCAGATGTAAAGGAAGTCAAAATACATGTGGAGAAGGGAGCCGAAGAGTGATGTTAAAAAGAAGGGGTCAATATAACTAGAATGTCTTTGCACTGGAACCCACAGGGGCATAGAAATAAAGGAAGATCAAAATACACTTGGAGAAGGGAGCCAGAGAGTGACATTAAAAAGATAGGGAGGACATGGGGAGAGCTGCATGCGACAGCAAAAGACAGAACAACTTTCAGTGAATTGGTTGGAAGCCTATGCTCAACTGGGAGTTAGAAAGGCAGAAGAAAGTTTAAAACAAGGACCACTGTGACTAACAAGTATATAAACCGACACAGACAAGGGGTGTAAGTACAGTTTTGTGCAGCTGAAACAGTTACAAACATACATGTACGTATAAAAATGACTGAAAGAGGGGCATCAACCAAGGATTCCAGGGCCCCATTTTTGAGGGAAAACAAGAACAACTACCCCCAACAAGCATGACAAAAAAGGCAACTAATTTGCAAAGTGTGAAGAACATAAGAAACGGATCACTAGACCAGCAACAGTATGGTATCCCCCAAGCAAAGTGTGAAGAACATAAGAAATGGATCACTAGACCAGCAACAATATGGTCTGTCCCAAGCAAAGCGTGAAGAACATAAGAATAGGATCACTAGACCGGCAAAAATATGGTCTCTCGTAAGCAAAGCAGGAAGAACATAAGAAACATGGACTTAAACAAAAACACACCAACACAGCAGGAAATTACTGTGAGTTCCATCAGTTTTGATTCTAGGGGACTTGAACCATAGACCATCAGACTGGCAGACAAGTACACAATACAGTCTCTCCCAAGCAAAACGTGAAGAACATAAGAAACATGGTCCTAAACAAAAACACACTAACACAGGCAGGGAATTAATGTGAGTTCTTGCTTAGTTGTGTTTCTTGCAGATTCAAACTATGGACCATTAGACCGGCAGACAAGTGCACAACAACACTGTGGCTCCTAATTAAAGCAAGAAAAACAACACCAAACAATGCAGAACTGCTCAAGCCACTACAAGTTCTCCGGGAAGAGGCCATTCACCATTTTCTGAATCTACAGTTCACAACACAGACCACGCCGGGTAGTCAAAAAGCATCCTAAATGAAATCTGCAGCTCACAGTGTCACACCATGCACTTAACTCGGTAGCTGCTCAACCGAACTATATCCTTTCAGTCTACATAAGTAGAAAAATGCAACAGCTAATTACTGTCAAAAGCAGAAACTTGCCAAAACTAAGAAAGAGTAAACCAGCCTATTCACCAAACTGACATAAGCTGAAAGACAAGTGAACAAACAAACAAGCATAAAGAATGAATGGGAGTGCTGGGACTAGTAATGTTTCTTGAAGATTTCCACCAAGAACCATCATGTCAGTAGACAAGTGCACAAACCAACAGAGACAAGAAATAAGCGTGAGTGACAACAATGTTTTGTGCTGCTTAGACAGTAATCACACAGGTGACCGCAGCCTCACCACACCAACAGTAGATACCTGCACAGCAACAACACAGCAACTAGGGTAGTTGTAAATACACCTGAGGAAGGAAATTTGGATGGTCAAAAGAAGAAGAAGAAAAAAGGATAACAAAGATCTATCAAAGCCTTGACTTACTGCCAAAGTTGGTAAATTATCAACAGAATAATCAAACCAAAGAGTAATCACATTATTATAATAGGGGTTAAATGTGACAGTATCGACTTCCTTGTCCCCTGTGTGGGTTTCCTGGGTCTTGAGGCGTCAATTGTCAACTGTAAGGTGGAAATGGGGCGTGGGGGTTTAAGTCGAGGAGGGGAAGAACAGATCAACTGCATGTCAACACACATGCATTCAACAGAATATGATTCCCCTTGTGGGTTCCAGGGCCCTGTTATAGGGAAAACAAGAATAGACCCACTGCCTACCCAAAAGCATGTCGTCAGAGTCAACTAATTGGGGGCTTCCTTTAAAGTCGGAGCGCATCTGCCTAAGAGGCAAGGAACCAACAGTCTGTATACAAATGAGTCAGATCTGTAAAATGGATGCACACGCAACACTCAGGTTCTGTAACATGATTATAGTCCAGAAGTTGATGAACAACCAGAAATTTCTGCCGGAGTTTACAGCCGTAAAAAGCAAAGACAAAGAAGACGAAGAATATGATCTTTTTAGTGCTCAAAAGGAGGCAGGATGACTGGATGGTTCAGGAGCAGACAGTAAATCAGCAACCTCTACGAACCTTAAAAGAGGTGTCGCCAATCATGAGCACTATACAGGTAGCCAAAGAAGAATAGTAAACTAAAACAGAACACATGAAATCGGACAAAAGGGGCAGATATTGCAGGCTAGCATTAAACCACAATATACCAAGTATTCTTTTAAGGGTGAGTGCAGAAACAGAAGACTACTGCACCGGGTGGTACCCAGCCAGTCTAGCACAGCCTCTCTGGTCTGAGCCTGCCTTTCAAAAGTGTCATAAAAAACCCACAAACTCCAACTTAAAAACCCACATCTAGTAAGCTCTATGCTCGCGTGCGGATCGGAAGGTCGTGGGTCTATTCCCTGGCAGAGCCTGACTTTTAAAAAAATGACCTTGTCTCCCAGGTCAACTCAGCCTTGAGTGGGTAATGGGTGCAGTCCCGGGAAGCAGAGGCTGATCACATGATCCATCTTGTGCTGATTGGTCTATACAAATATAGGTCTAGCCCTATGTCCTATATGCCTATAAAAATATAGGTCTAGCCCTATATGCCCTATATGCCTAAAGGCATGGAAAAGTAACCTTCACTTGTATTTACTCAGTAAGCTCTCCGTCCCATTTTATGCGGCAACTGTCAAGTCCCAATCCTGAAAGTATCAGTAACAGTCTAACTGATCTAACTGGAGTGACTCGTAATGATTTTTGTAAATTTTCTTCTACACCAGAGATTTTCTAGTTTTCACATTTTTTTTATTCATAAATAGTTTTCTTTTTAAATATGTTGTTCATAATTCAAATGCAGAAACTTCCTTGTAATTAGACGACTGTAAAAAAGCTACTGCTACTTTCTAATCACATAAATACAAAAATTTGAAAGTTTAAAAAAACAAAAACATTAGGTTAATTTTCTAATGAGTGTCGATACAATACTCAAAAGTGAATGTTATTTGACTAAACAATTTGAGACTTAAAAAACAAAAAAAGGAACACTGTTCTTACATAAATAATTAAAGCACCCTGTGGGTCAGTGACACACTGGAAATATCAATTGATCAATTGGTGTTCGGTGGTTGATGTGGTCAACTTCATACCGGCCACATTTACTTCCTCGGACAGAGCTATTTAAAAAAAGTGTAATCAGGATTGGGGGGGGGGGCAATTTTGAAAGTGGGGATTTTTAGAGGCCAGGGGCTCGCACTAGCTGGCAATGATCCATGGGCTACTTGTCAGGCCTTCTCTGGCCAGATGGCCACCAGCTGAATAAGCCCTGCTCAAGGGTATCACCTGGTACACAGTTCACGCTGGGTTGATCTGGAGCAAGGTCCATTTATTTTTAATTTGTGTTCATATGGATCTGAACCCCACTTCTGGGCTGGTATGCCTAGCCTCTACATCACTGAACCCCACTTCTGGGCTGGTATGCCTAGCCTCTACATCACTGAACCCCACTTCTGGGCTGGTATGCCTAGCCACTACATCACAGTAGCTCTTTTTCTACACCCATTCCCCCTTTTTTTCCTCAACCTGTCGCAGAACTTTCCTTTGTCCCATT